CAGTATTTTGGATAATTTTATATATTAGATTTCAATCAGTATACACTGACGACGAAGGAATAAATTAGACCTATATCACCACCACTTTAAGAATTCAGAAAAATATAGTTTTATCAACAGCTGAGTTCCTCTTTTGCGATTGCCACGTAAAACCAAAACAATATTTAGGTTGGAAATTGTTCAAAAAAAATTCTTCAATCACACTTTCGCAACAACTGTACACAAAAGTTATTAACTGACCCGAGTGATCTGACACCCCAAAAACTGGCCTGTTTGAAAGGAAAATCTAAGAAATTTCAAATGAAGTCGATTCGGAGAAACGTGCGAGGGGATTAACGGGACATCGCTGTATTCTGTTCACTCATATTTCCTTTACCTTTCCAAGTACTGAATGTTTATGGGTTTGCTTAGATTAAACAATAGGTGGAATACTTTGTACCAGATGCCTACGACTACTTTTTGCAACAGGTATTTCTTTAATCTTTCTCAGTAATAGCTAGTCACGGGTTGTTCCTGAATTATATTGTATTATTGTTCTATTACAAACGAGAGAAATTCGCCCATGTTCACGGTCGTATAACATAAATTGGAGGCTATAACATCATCACGAAGTTGATGCTATTGTTTTGGAAATATTCAAGTGTATTTTTGATAAAAAAAATGTATGCTTGAATAATCATTTACAATTCGAGTTTACTCCGTGATTAGTAAAATAACCCTACAAAAACACTTCAATGTACTAAATCTGTTGTCCCTAAGCTCTACAAAAGTAACCATTTAAACAAGGTGAGAAACTTAAGGGGAGATACCTACAACTAGAAATAAATACAACAAGTCGTAGTTACAACTAGACCTAGGTACAATAACAATAGAGAACGAGTCGATTTAAAGAGTCGTTCTTAGAGCTTAGTCAGCCTCCGTTTGCCTCCCCCTCAGCTCAAAACCCGATTTGGCCCCAAGTTTCCGTGTCCCTAAGTTTCCTCGTCCCCATCTTTCCGGACACCGTGAACAATAGCTGGCTCGAGTCACGAGCCCAAGCCCTACAGCAGGTATACCGGGGGTGATCATGACAGGGGGGGGACCTTTCCGGGGTGTGCATTTTGAAAACGATCGGGGTTAACGTATCCGGTTAACATCAATTCTAATTAGAAAATCTGGTAATTGTATATGATAAGTGAATATAATTATCTAATTAATACGCGAACTAAAAAATAACTCGTCATATCGACGAGTGCATGCTGCAGCTGAAATTGAGTGTCCGCGGCCGGAAACATCACCCCCCGGTCTCTGACGTCAATATGACGTAGGGGGGTGATGTTTCCGGGGGCGACCTTTCCGCGTCCCCAAATTAATTGCTAAGACGATTTTTACAGCTAGCATTAAGCTTGTCAGAAACGAGTTTTTTTATTGTTGAGTCAAATTTACAAACAATGCTTGTGGATCTGTTGTTTTTCGATTTTTAATTCGTCCCCCCTGTACGTAGTAGGCTTAAACGGGGAAAGTATTGTAGGTACTCGTCAAAATGTTCGAATTTAAGTATTGGGTAGAAATACCCGTTTTTTGTGGAAACTGAAAATAGTGGTTTCCGAAGCCAAGTGAAATGAAAAATTGCTGTTTGCTGCTAGAGCATTATGACTGTATGATTTTTTGGCATTAGTTTTTTATTAAATAACGGAAAAATCAGATTTTCAAAAAAACTACTCAAAAGATTTTGATTAAAATGTAGTATGTTATAGCTCTTTTAACTTGAAGCAAAATGGTACGACCCCCCAATGCTGTAAAAACCATGGTCCAAGAGTTATTTCAATCCAAGAGTTATTTCAAACTTTTGTGATTTTGCTAATAAAATATCACAATTACTTTTACCGCTTAACCATTGACTACTAAGGTAATGGGAGGAATTTAGGAACTACTTTAATATTTACTTCATACCATGCTATAACCTAAACCATGTGAATCTTTAGGAGTATATCCTAATTCCTAACCTTCTTCAACCCGTGAACTTTTGGGGACTTTTTTAACTGTATCCAACGACACCAACTTCTCAAATTTGGATAGAAAAAGTGATCGGAAATACAATAATAAAAATATATAAATTTACCATATAAACCTAGTTGTTTAGATGCTTTTTACCAAATGATATGGCAACAGTGCAATTACTATCGTGTGTTACTAGAATAGCACTGTATCATGCAGCCTATGACTTATTAACATATGGTAACGTGGCAACATTATTATACTATGCGTGTCAAGCCTTCCGTGATGTTTCATACATTAGCGGTGATATTTTATTGAATATCTAATGTAAGAGTGCATCACAACTCCATAACTATAGAACAAACTGTTGATAGAAAACTGTGAAAACGCAGAACATTCGAGGTATTAAAGTATTAAATTTAATGCATACATGATATAGGTACTTTTATTTATTTGTTGAAAGTTAATAAATTATTTAATAACGTTTTTTAATGCCTCATTGTTATGTGTATCGATACCTAACAGATATTCAAATAACTAACTAGGTTACAACTATTAACTTTGGATACCGAAGTAAGCGTCTCATTTATATAAACCAATCAACTATCAAGTATCAAACCTAACAGACCACCCTGCAGAGTTGTTATTTTGTACAATAATTCAGAAAGCAATGCTCACGCAAACGAAGGATCAAAGTGTGTTTGAACTGCGATTCAAAAAGATTACCGCCCTTTATCAAATAAACGGATCGTCTAACGTGTGTGAGGTACACGAATATTTACTGATTTATTACGTTTCAAGGGTCGTTCTTTGTACTTTTTGTTTAGAGATATTTACTTACTAGACAAGGTTCCTTGTTCTGTCAAGTCACGAAGAGATCTGATAACTACTTTGATCAAATAGTCCTTGTGATGTTTCTGAGCAACCTCTGTTCCATGATTATATAAAGGTGAACTCTGATATAGTTCATGTGATCGAGAGGTTTTACTCGAATTCGATCATCATTTAGGCTTTATTAGTTGATACAAAAAATAGGGTTCTGGGTATTAACACATTCCTGTGACCGTTGGTTTTTAACCACAGTTTGGTAGGTTTGCACAAATCAACCGATTTTTGTGAAACTTGGTACTAACATATAAACTCACAATCATTCGAACCACCATGATCGGACCATGGGAACAGCGTTAGGAGAGTGTTTATAGGAATACAATTAAGTATTCCTATTTTTTACACTCAAAACATTAAATTCCCAATTTCTTTCCAAATCATTTTTGTTGAGCCTGAAAAAGAATTTAGTATATTGAAGGGTTGTTTCACGTTTAATGGTTACGGATGAAATTCAAATTGTTAGTTTAAAATATGCATGTTATTCTTATGGAGAATGAATCAACTGTTTGTTTGCTTGTTTGTGAATGAATTCTGACCATATTTAACTAATTGTTTTTTTCAACCCAAGATATTTACATTTCACTACAAAATACACTCTATCACCTTCCCTGTAGCAGCAAACCTAAGGGTTTAACCTATAATGTTATTTAAATATAGAGTAAATCTGACATATTGAAGGATCTATTTTTAGCAAAACCCCAAACGACAGTGGTCACTTTTTAAGCAGCCACATACTTCTTGCACGTACATAATCTGAATGTTGGTGCGCGGTGAGTGTAGCGTAAAGTGTTCTTTGTTAATAACCCTTTGGGATGTCTTTATCATCTGTTTCTGTACAGCTGGTCCATGGTCTAACAGACAACACATTATAGCTAGGCTAACACTATTACATACACACTCCACTGGATGTAAGAATGTCAGTTTATTTTATCAGAACCTAAAAATAAGCTATCAGTTGTATAGGGTCTCTAATTGCATAGTTTACTACCAGTTGCCCTTTCGGTTTAATGTAATAATTTATAAAAAATCCGTATACGAAAAACTCTCAATTAAAATTAAAGTTATAATAGTTCTCTTTAAAAATGTCTTCTCTGTAGAGTGTCCATAGTCAAAACTAGCTTCAACATTAAAAATCATAGGTCGTGTATTACGAATTTTTCCGTGAGCAAAATCCGACAAATGAAATGATTCTTCAGGGTACTTGTATTAGTCGATGAATCAATTTAACCTTCACAGTCGACAATCGACCAGCATTGTGAACTTAGAGTCAGCACCCTCGCCAAGGAAGGATCGATAAATTGAAAGCATGAGCGATTATACTGTAGCCGAACAAATACAACCCTTTATAACACCGCTTGCAAACGCGAACACGTCAATGGGAAGTCGCCGGTGCTATATTTAGTAGCTTTAGCTACTGTGTGGATTGAACATTTTAGGCCCATTAAACCTGAGGACATAATGAATGAAAATTGTTCATGCTGTTTCGATTATTTTGTGAATCCAAAGTCATTATATAACTTAGACGAGGTTTAATTTTTTGTAGTTTTCAATTTTATGTTTTTTTTCGTTTTTTTTTCTTTGTTTTTATTCTAAATGAATGCTTGGGGAGTTTAAAAACCACATGAAGATATTGCTTGATGAACTGCAGCATCCTTAGGGACATCAATCTCTAATAGTTCACCCCCTAAGATTTCCGGCTCCAGGCCAAAAGATACGTCACAAAACTCAAAACTGAAACCAGGTAGTATTAGAGCTGTCCCCACGATTGGAAAACCGGAGGTGACGTCTTGAGAGGGTGGTATATTCTAGAGACCAGTCCCCTCTATGATTCCTCCCATGTGTCTGTCACTTGCCATGGTTCAAGAGTGATTCCAATTTCTTCATTCATAACTGTGCAGTTAAATAAATCTGCCGCATGTTCCCCGTTGGGTATCAAAGGGATGTAGGTGCTTTAAGTGGCTATAAACAATTATCGTTCCGGTATTCTTCCTCCTTGCTGAAGTGTTTATTGAAACAAAGCCATAATATAAGGAACTGTACACGTAAATCTACTCCAAAATAACATTTATACTTAGTAGGTACTTGGTTTTTCTGCTATACGACAAACACTACTAAAGTTGTTTGTGTTGTAGAACATGCACTCCGCTTCCGTCAGCGTTATCGGCGATCAGCACAACTTTGTCAGTGTCCTGTCTAGGAAGAAAAGGTATGTGTAGTTTTTTATTGTTTTGTTTTATTTATAGTTGCCTGTCATCAAGATGGTCATCGCTTCACATTTATGATGGCACTGTATTCAAAAGTTATTAATAAATAGGAACTTTTTTTACCAGTGTTTTAGCAAATAACCATAGGCTATATGGAATAACACGTAAATGACAAAAGCTATATTTGTTATCATAACCTAAACAAATTACGTACTAGACTAGTATAGATTAAAGGAGTGGTATTAGAGAAATAGTTGGTTTTTGTTAATGGTAGGTGTTGTTATATGCAGTTACGCGTTTGCCCATACATGGAAGATTGCTATAAAGTTTCCAACGAATTGATTTGAATTTTAATTCCCTTGTTTAAATTTGAGTACCAACAGTGTCAAAGGCAGTCTATTCCTTCGAAATTAATTTTGAGTTTTGTTTTAGTAAATGTTTGTGTATATGTATTTCATTTATAAAAACACAAATTTAATCTAGAAATTCTGTGTTTTTATTCTGTGAGCAACTCACCACACTCTTACACATTGCTAAGAAGTAAATGAAAAGGTAAATAAATGTAAATATTGGAGGTCACAAAAATCCTGTGGTTTCGTGATTTGCAAAGTCAAACCAGATATCGTGATATCTATTCCGTCACTTTGTTAAATGAAAGAGATATCAACAAATATGTTAAAATAGGTAGCGTGTACACGGGCTTTCTGATTTACCTGTTTATTATTGTCTACCAATTTACAAACCAGAATTTTTTCATCCTGTATTTTTCCTGTATAATCATGTTTGTTTTAACTGTAGGCCTATTATGCAATTGGAAAATAAAGCTATCTGCCAACTTACCTTTTTACATAAAATGTCAAATAACCCACTAACTTACTGTATTAATTGAGTGAAGCTCACTTTCCCTCACTTTGTAACTTATTTGTAAGAGCATCAGAATGTAATGGCTTGACCAATTGATATGAAATTTGGCCAACAGCTAAAGAATACTGAGCACAATGTTTTGGTAAAAAATATTTGCAAATTTCCTTCTGGATTTTATTTTACGGGTCACGCAATTTCGCTTGTTATTTTAATGTAAGTTGAAAGAAAAATTATATTGGGTTTATGACATATGGGTTTATCTTGTTTCATTTAAATAAGAAAACATATGTTAATTGTTTGTAACTGTTTTGTTTACATTTCAATGTTTACTTTCATCCTAGGTTAAAGTTGGAATGTAACAGTTTATCAATGGAAGTAAAAGTTTTGCTATATTTGTTTTGAGCAAGCCTCAAAGGCCACGTCGTAATATTGGTCGTCGCACCAATAATGCAAATATTGTAAGAGAGTGGCGTCGTGAACAAGAAGAACCAGATGAAGCAGTGGCAGAAGAAGCTGATAGGCAGTTAGCTAATCAATTCCAACATGAATTAGATGCACTACAATTTTACACTTGCACTAACTGTCATCGCCAACAACTAACAGCTTCAAACCAATCACCGATTTGTTCGCGTTGTCGTTCAAATGCAACTAAATTCACGGCGTTAAATAATATGGATGTGTCAAGTGTCCCGAACGAATTAACTGACCTGACGATTGTAGAACAAATGTTGATTGCACGAGTACATCCTGCTATGCCCATTTACAAAGTACAAGCAAATGGTCAGGATGGCCAGTTTCACTACAAAGGTACAGTATGTACTATCAGATAAATTTGTCATTCTTTAGAACTTAAATAATATCGGGCAAACAAACGGTGAATCTGTTGAAAGGGAACATATTGTAGGGTGTTCTGCTTTAGCCATTGACAATCTTTAAATAATGCTTCACTCATTTATGCGTCTAAAGTGTAACGGCAGACCACCCTAGTTATTTACATAATGCATCCAACCTTCTGTTAACCTAGAGTTTTCATGTGAACCATAAATTATTGATCTGCCAACTTTTTTAAAGATGTTTGTGACTTCTTAATCTTGCATTTGCCACTCACGTAGACCTGTGTGAGGAAGGTATCCAGCAAAACAAGGGATGTGAAGGGATTGATCTAAATAGTCCAAAATGTGTACATTTTCCCAGTTTTACCTTGTAAATATTGATAGCTTACGGTAGTACAAATTTATTATTTGTACAAATCTTGTATACACAATGGCATTTACTACAAACAACTAGCTATTTCTGCATTAATTTTCCTTTTTATTACCAAGAGTAATTTTTAAGAACAACTAAATCAGTAAAATTGGCTTTTTCAAAGTACCATTGCCTGATGTATAAAATACTAGAAGTAATTTAGTTTACATTGAAGATTTGAAAAGTTTAAAAGTAAAGGACGTTTAATCTTTAAATTGATTAACATTTTTGAGTGGCCTTTCACAATTCTGTTGTCTGTGCAAGCATATTGATATACCTTGTACAAACAATTTCAAGCCAATTATTGATTTTCTGTCAGTTTCTTCTTGAAAAGAACTTCACCTTTAAGTTCGTTTGGTTTAATGGCAAACATTTATACTCTTCTAGGATGTATTTTTTGTGAACTTGTGTTCATATATTTTTTTATTCTTAAGGTGTTAATTAACAGAGTTAACCAAAGAGTATCTAATCGGTGTCAGCTGATTTAGACCCATTTTGATTAGGGTGTAAAGATCACGACAAAATGATGAAGGAAAAGTGTGAAATATTCGGATGACGTCATATTATTGAGACAAAACCTAACCATGTACCAAACCATGACCAAAACCTAAACTATTGTAAACACCATTACATTTGTTATTTTAGCTAGGTTTTTATATTGTAGTCTAATCCTATTAAACTTTTATCATAATGTGTTATCACCAGTGCCATAAATGGCTTGTCTATAGCCTCGCTGATTTTCAACATAGACTCGTACCTATATCCCCTACGTTTTAGGATTTGGAAATCAGCTGTTTTATTGTTAGTCTAAATAAAACTTTCAACTTTGTGTAGGACTATTATGTATGTCAATATTCAATGGAGTCGGGAGTGGTTGCCGTTTTTTTTTTTTTTTTTTTTCAAATCGATTGTAACTCATTGTTGCATTATTATTGACTAGCTGTACCCGCGGGCTTTGCCCCGTTTAACTTCTTAATTTTCAAGATGAGCTCGTTCACATGGCTCAATCACGTCCTGGTTAAAGTTCGTTCGCTACGCTCACTCACCTTTTGGTTACAAATTAGCTGTTGTCATAAATAAAAAAAAAAAATAATAGTGCTGCACCATTTGTGGCCTCCTCTGCGAAGTGAAATGCGCCGCAATGCATGCAAGTGCTAAGAGGACCTATATTGTGAGAAACAACACTCAACTCGTTTTCCAGCGTTCTTCTGAAGGCAGGTTGTAAACCAGCTTGTGGATTTTCAAATTTAGGCCGTACACGATGTTCTCTTTCAGAATTTCTTGTGTCAGTTGAATTCCTGGATACTCTTCCACGTCTTGCAGGTCTTCCCCTACCCTGTCTAGTTACTTCGCTCATTATAAAAAACGGAAAACCAAAAATTAAACGAATACATTTCATTTTTAAATATTATTTAACAACATTGACTTTCGGAATAAACATTACAAATAAACTAGGTGTACAATGCAGTTGTCTGCTTGCAATATTGAGCGTAGCTAGCATATTAATCCAATATTGTTCTAAAGTCAATGCTACATCTGTTCCTCGTAGATGAGGTTAAATACTTGCAGTATCCAATGTCAATGTTATATGTGGTTCACTTAAATGGAATGTCTATTTGCAGTATTCTAAGTCAATTATAAGTCTGGTTCACGAAAATGAATTGTCTACTTGCAGGAACAAAGCAATGGGTCATTTGATTCATATAAATGGAGTGCTTATTTGCAGTATCTAAAGTCAATGATACGTCGGGTTCACGGAATCGAATTGTTTACTCAAATCAAACCAAATCATTGTTCAACTTTCAACTCTTTTTTTGCTTTCAGTATCCAAACTCAATGGTACATTTATTGGTTCACGTAAATGAATTGTCTACTTGCAGGATCCAAAGTCAATGGTACGCCTGATTCACGTCAATGGGAAGTCAGTATCCAAACTCATTCGTATGTGTAGGCCTAGTACAGATTTGGTTCACATAACTGGAATGACTATTTGGATTATTTAAAATCAATGGTACATCAGCCTTATTCCGGCGACCATAATTATTGGTTTTTCATTTTGTAGTAAATTATACTCAATGGCATTAATTAATCCGATTGTTCTTCCCTTTTTCTCTGTACGGTATTTGTAATGCTATTTAGAAGATTCGTCGACTAACATATGTTGCAACTCTTGTTTACCTTTTTATTGTTATCTCGCAAATAATGTCATGGCAACCAATTAACCCATAAGGCCCATGTTAAATTTCCAAAAGTTTGAATCCACGAACAGAAAAGTCCTTTTGGTCCAATTTGTACCATTTCAGATTTATACCTTCCCATGGTCGGTTACTATGATTGTGCTAAATTTGGTGCAGATCGCTTCAGTCGTTCAGGAGGAGTATTTGTAAAATGCAGACGTTTTTCAGTACCCATGCTTTTCTTGTGGTGGATATTTTACGTTATATCTCGTTTTCTGGTAATTTTATGGGAGTTCTGCTATTTTTCCCGAGTCCCTGGGGTCAAGACCTTTAATTTAAGACCTCTTTACCTTTCTGCGACTTACCAGGCGTCCACAATTTTCTGGTGAAAATTTTGTCTTACAGAATTATATATAAGGATAGATAACTTACTAGTTAATTGTTTTACTGTACTGAATTTGTTCAACTTTGAGAAATACATTAAAAATATATAAGGATGTGTACCGGTACTAAAATAACCCAATACTCGAGTTTTTCCTGAGTTATTTCAGCCTTCAGCCCACATGTTCAATATTTTAATCCTGTAGGTTAGTCAGTTTATTGTCAAACATAGGATGTATATTATTCTTGAAACTATTAACAAATATTTTAAGCTATAAGCAAATGTAAAACTTTAATTATTTGATGGAAGAAAATGATTTCGGTAGTATGAAGAAAAATTTAATGAATTTCAACTTTCAAAAGTTGCTGTTCAATTCTCACTCATTTTAGACCTTAGCATCACATCAATCTCCTGTATAACTATAGATCAAGAATCCTGTATAACTATAGATCTTGGAATCCTGTATAACTATAGATCATAGAATCCCGTATAACTATAGATCATAAAAAATAAAACTTTTCCTATTGTAATGAAAAGCAGTTTAAGAGCCGAGCCTTTATAAATGCATTGCAAGATTTTGTAATACGTGTTCGCTGGATTTGCAGCACAATTATTAGAATCATACTAACTAGGATGAACTGCCTTAATCTATTATGCCTAGGTCTAGTTTATTTTAAGTATAAATTTTAAGTTTATGTTAAAATGTATTTAGTTTGATCAATGTATTTACTATTCTCCCATGTTTTCTTTTGCTTCTTCAATGTATTATTTATTTGCCAAAAAGTTCAAAAATAAATCTTCTATTGTTGTAAGAGAACATTATATTACGGCTTATCTAGTAGTTTCAAAATGAAATTTCTCTCTAAAATGAGTTTAAATACAGTACCACTGATCACTATATAAAAGCTTGCACTGTCGATATACCTGCAAAAAAAATTAGGTCCCTCAGGCAAAATGAATACTTTCTTTGTTGGATTCTTAGTGTAACAAATAAAATTATATAAAAATAATTCATATTATTGTTAATTTAAAGTTTCTTCTGTTGCAGACATATACTACGAGCCCTCTCAAATTCTAGTGTTTTAGAGAAGCGTCTTCTGTCCGCTACACTAGCTCTGCTAGCTGTAGCTCTCACACTGCTGATTGCTCTTATCGTCTTTGCCTCGTGTAAGTTACTGTCCCAATACTTGGCTTCAAACATCTTAACTTTGATACTTTCATGTACTGTTTCTTAAAGTAACCCGAAAATATAATATCAGTAATGAAATAGTTATTTATGTGACTAATGTGCGAAGTGGCACTTTGCTGCACATAAGAGAAATGTTCATGTGGAAAATTTCTCGAGTGCAGCAAAGACATTTTGCGCTCATGTTGCAAATTATATTTTTCCTACAGTTACTAGACCTATAAACCATAGAAATAATCTGTCATTCAAACACTAAAAAACACGTTTTAGGTTAGGTTAAATCAAGTTTAAAGAAATGGAAAATACTGCAACAGCTGATCGTAGTTATAGTATCTTCCAGTGTTGCCAATTTATTTTCAAGACACGTATTGCGTGCCTAATAAAAGCACACTTTTTTGGGGTTTGGTTTGGTTTTATGTTGTTTGGTTGAAATACTGTAGTTCAGCAAAAAAAGAAATTGCGGCAAAAGTAAGTAAATGCAGCAATTAGATAACTTACATTGCATGCTAATATCAGTACAAGAAACCCCATTTCATGTTTTTCAACTAAGCTCGTTTTTTTACATTCAACCCCAGCACTTGGTCATTGAGCATAAATGGTCATGACTCCCTACACTCATTCTTCGCTAATATTCAAGTTAAAATACGCACCTATAGGTTGCGTTCCCATCTCAGGTAATAGTAAAGAGTACTACTGGGAGGAAAAGCTTTCATTGTATGAATCTGGTTTGTGAAAATATATTTCCCAAATCATTTAAATAGGTAATATAGTTAATCATTTTAAAATAATCTATTTCCCCCCTTGTAGATTGTAATGTTAACTATATTCATCGTAATTTTTCTTCCAGATAAAAAATACCGGGATAGAGGAAGAGTTTGTGAGACAAAAGAGTGCATAAGAAGTGGTGAGTTCTTAATTGGAACAATACAAATTAATCAAGTTTTCACTAAGTCTCATTACTTATTCTCAAATAAGTTTCTATTTTCTGATATCCAAAAATGTGCAGTTACCCCTGTACAATATCAATAGCTTGATTTATCTGTGACTGCTACACTGTTATTCACTACAATTAGTTTATTTGTCTATTTTTAGCAGAAGAAAAAATCTGGTACTAGCTTGGTTTTGAATATGGAACAAATTCAAAACCTTGTAGACTAAAGTGTTAAGAATGTTTTATTGCCGCTAATACACACAACTCGTATATCTAAATGCAAAGTCAAATGAATCCACAAGTATACAATTAATTACAAATATACTACAGTACTAATCAAACACAAATAATATGCTACAGAAATGTACAACAAAAAAACAACCCATAACATTGAATTAAAATCGAAAGTTAATTATCACAGCATAATTTCAACATTCCTCTACGGAATAAATAAATTGTTAATAAGCCACTCACAGAAATAATTTTAAAGTGGCTCATAGAATCAAGTCGGAAAGGGGTCTAGCGGTCTAATGAAAACTCTTACTTGGTGCTGAAGGATTCTTTTCCACACACTGACATTTAGTCTTGTGAACTGTTTTTCATTTTTCAATTTGCTTCATTCCGGATTCTATTTTTGGAAATGAACTCTTTATATTTCATGCTTCACATCATAAGTAGCCACAGCTCAAAATCCCACCAACTCAAAGAGTTAACCCTGACATGAACTTGTATCTGTCATAGCCGCCATGCTTCTGCAGTCGATGGACCCGATGACTGATCCTTGTGAGGACTTCTACCAGTTCGCCTGTGGTCGCTGGGCGGAACAGAGAATCCTGGCAGAGGGGTCTTCCACCTCTTGGTTTTCCGAGAGGACTAAACACATCCAACGGAAGATACTAGGCAAGTCTCATTGTTCACTCATGTGTTTATCAATTTTATTGTAGATGCACTGAGCCACAAAAAACATTTTCAAGGTTGGAGTAAAAGGACTGACAAAAAAAATTTGAAGTTCCTTCCTCAGCTGAGTTTGTTTTAATCTTACAGACACACTTTCATTCAGGGCAATGTTCTTTACTTATCACGCAGTAACATAAAACGTTTTTTAAGCTTTTTAAATCTTTTTAAGAATTGAGTTAAATAGTCGAGGATATCCTCTCAGCTTATTAAATGTGCATCATGGATATTAGAACATTAACAAATGGTGTCACTAGCCCAAAATTAAAACATGTGCATATTAATATATGGAACTGTCAAAAAAAGGCCAAACCAGATGTTACAGTTATTAGTATTTATATCTTCGAGCCAGTGACGACATTTTTGAAAATTTTTAATTTAAACCATTGAATTTTTTATGTCCCATCAACCATCAAAGTATCAAAAAATAAGAGAGGAAATTAATTTAATGTTGACTTAGTCAAACTCTGAGCGATATGTTTCAAATATGTTCGATTTGAATAAAAATTGGCTACGGATGAAGCATATCAATGGGGTGTATACTCAAGCGTCCTAATGTAAATGGTTGTCACGGCTGATTTTGTATGTTCGTTCAAATCCTGCAGAGATTTATAGCTAAAAATATTTATGTCCGATATACAGGATAATTTAATCTGCAAACATGGTCCAAGATGTGTATTATATACAGATACACACTATCATTCCCACATATTATTTTGATTTGCAAAGCTTCCACCTGTAGCATGCAGTAACATATGTTTAATAACTCGCCTTTGTTCACAGAGGTGTTACAAACTAACAGCACCAGTGTTGATCCCTTGCCTGTCAGACAAGCTCGCAACTTTTATCGATCCTGTACAGATACTGGTAAGTTTTTTATTAACTTAACTAAACTTTAACCTTTTATTAACTTTTAAGTTTTTTTAGAGAATTGCCAACATTTTTATCCGTTAAGTGAATAAAACAACTAGTTGTTGTAAAAGATCAACGGATTTCTAAGGATTTGTTGAAAAGTTGTAGTTTTACATGGGCCTACAATAAGTCAACTGGAAAGACTGCAGGATTTGGATCGTTTACTCACTAAAAACATTCCAATGGTATTAAACACACAAAATAAAACAAAAGGCTCAGTTCCCCATTAAACCCTCTATACTCTCTATCTTTGCTCCAGACACATTAGACCAGCTAGGTCTGCAACCTATGATGGAGGTTCTGGACAAACTGATGTTACCGAGGACTCTGCCCAACACTACGACAGCATCCAGCTGGTCTTTGGGTCCCACTCTAGCAGCCATCCAGAGACTGCTCAATGCTGACATTATGGTACAACTCAGCACCTTCCTAGACCCAGCTACCAACCGATCTATACTACTGGTAATTGTAGAACTATCAATTATAACTATCACAACTGTTTAGCTACAGCACTATTTTGATAGGTTTAATGAACTATTGGAGAAAGTGTATTTCAGGATTAAGTGAAGATTAGTGAAGGATGGGAGTTCAGTGGATGAGATGATTGTTTTGTCACTAAACTTTGATCAGATGGCTATTTAGCTAGGATAATGTATTAGAAGTCTAATAATACAGGAGAGATCTATACTTTTAAACAATCAAATAGCTATGCAGACTTTACTCCAAATTACCATTATTACCGATCAGTATGTTGAAGACCCTCTATCCCCGAAGCTATTCCAGCTGTATCATTAATTAAGTATACCTAAGTGTAGTTTTGGTATGAGGTATTTTGTAGCTTTCAATTGGATGAGCCACTCACAAATTCTACTTTCTTCCTTAGTTTTTATTGCTGCAATAGTTGATACAACATAAAAGGAACCAATACAGTTATCCATTCAGTTTGGTTAAAAAGTTCTAAGAGTATTTCACATATATTATTTGGTGGTACAATTCAGATGTGTTCGTTTTAATTATGAAACTGTCAAAAACTTTAACATGGAAATGGAACTCTAGTTCTATCAAGGTTCATCACATTTGTCGTCTGCTACAGCTGTCGCCCAGCTACAGCCTGTCCTCCCTGCCAGAGGTTATGACACCTGAGGTGCCACACTCACACCTGACTGGCAATCAGCTGTTCAAGACCCGCCTCTCCTACATCGCTGAGGTTCTGGCCGAGATTCACCCGGAGATAAATTCCACACATCTCGTCACCATTGCTCTTCGTATCCTCTTCACTGACGCCCACATTAAAACGGTTCGTCGCTCAGGTGAACTCTTGTGTTGTATTTTGTTTATTGTTTGTGTTCTTGACTGTTGTTGGAGATTTTAAACTGATATATGTTTGAGTTTTGTATCAAATGGTATTTACCTTCCTTTAAGATATTATGAAAGGACGTCTGATTTTCTAATCAGGAGGGGTCTTTTAAAGATTCCCCAACTGTTTTTTTACATAGAATAGTACAAGTCAAGTATATCCTGAGTTTATGCAGAACAAGAAATTATTCACTTATTTTCTGTTACCATGTTCTGTATACCTGTTACTTATGGACAAATGTTCAGAAACCTACGCTAGGCTAGCACACATACATATCCTAAGTGTATACATTTTTAAAATATAAATGTGTGTTCATAGTGTGCAGTTTGATAATGAAAAACTTGTCAAATTAGTTGATTTGATTCAGGATATCAAGAAGGCAGAGACTGAAGAACCTCCAATGATCACCACCTACCAGAATCTTCAGGAACTGATGGACAATGCTAGAAACTCTACAATTAGTTCTCTTAAGGTGATTATATTTAGATACCATTTTATTCTTGCAAAAGTATAAAATAATCTTTAAACTGTAAATGTGGAGACTATTGATAATGTCTGGCATTATGGTAGATTAAACATACTGCCATTGATTTGCCATCATTTTTTTTAATAATATAACAATCTATTAAGAAACCTTTCCTCTGGAATTTTAAACAAAGAGTATAACCTGCCCGGTAAAATTTTATCATACTTAGGTAAAACATTTATTCTACCCCAGAATAATCCAAATTAAATACACATAATATTTCCAATTAACCCGATTAGACTTCACTATAGCGAGACTTGCATTGTTCAAAGTCAATGGTTTTATTATATACTAAACGATAAACATGTTTTTTTGTAAACGTATACTTTAAATTATTAAATTTTATCAGCAGTGTACCCAAAAATACCCCCGCCACAGCAAACCTGCAGACTAAGCAAATTTCCATTTGCCTTAATTGGTTTTTAATTACGGTAAATATATTTAAATAACATCAGGTTAAACGAGTACCCAGGTTTGCTGCTACAGAGAGGCTAATAAAGTGTGTTTTTTAGTAAAGTATTAATAGCTTAGTATAAATAAGTTGGCCAACTTAGATCAAAATATATCCATAAAAAAGCAAACTACAACATTTTACAATTCATCTGCATAAGAATGCTAGGCAAAGAGTTTCAGACCTTACTCAGAGCAATGGCAGAACGCCAAACAGAAAAATGGAAGAAACCTTACAATTTAGTGATGATCTAGACAAGGTTAAAAACCATCTGTGCGACATTAAGGGCCAGCAGCATGTGTCTAAGGAGGACAAGAAAGAAGTGGAGGACCCTTAGAGAGTTTGAAGATGGGGCTGGAGTACCAGCTGTTTATTAATTTAAATAGAAAATGTTTATTGTTTTTCCATGTTCAAATTGTACTATTACTTATTATATAAAAAATGTCTTAAGAAAAAGGTGATTCCTCCGAACATCTGATCAATATGTTCATATACAAAATAAATGTTACGTATTTTGGAAATTAAACAACAAAAAACAACAATAAAAATTGGGAATTTTAAATTTATAATTTTTTTTATTTCTCCGTAACCAATAACCGCACAAAATACTTCAATAATATATTAAATTATTATTGTCTTTTAAGCCCTTTAAAATCGTCTAGAGAGAAATTGGGAAATGTTGTGTTTTGATGGTAAAAAATTAGAAATCCTAATTTTTACCGCATAAAACCCCGTTCCCATCTTCCGATCATGCTGGTTCACAAACTCATTCAAGTTTATCCCGCCTTACACCTTCAAACCAAATTTCACAAAAATTACTCAAGTAATCGCCTTCACAGACACTAAATGGTAATATTAAAATTTATTTTTTAACAGTTGGATTGGGCAGAGTACCTCAAGGTGCTGACAAAGGGCATGAATGTAACCACAGACATCAAATCTGCTGTGGCAGTTCAAAGTCCATCGTACTTTGAAGCCCTGTCTAGCAGATTGTCTAGCTCTAGGCCAGAGACTATACGTGAGTAAATTTATGTATATGGTACATACTATATTATGTATATCTATACATATTTAATACGCAAGCAGGTTTTTTGTGACAATTACTCCTCCGAAACTACTGAACCGATTGTCATGTTTTTGGTGTCATTGGAAAGAGCGTAACGTGAAGTTGTGCAGGAAACTTTCTTTTTAGGGAAATAATTAGAGAGTGAGGCTCTGGGGCCCTTTAAAGTTTCGTATTTCTCCATAAGATTAACATGGGGAACACAAATTGTTATGAAACTACAGCTGTTGTCAGAAATTAAAAGTGAGAAGAAGAACATACATATGTGTAAATTGTAAACAGTCAATAAGTTTGCTAATTTAACAGTTTGCTACAAACCTTTACTGACTTGGTTGAAATTAAATATTTACTATTTTAATTTGGGTTGGCGTAAATACTGCAATGGGAAAAAGCGAGAGAGCCTGGATAAATTGATATAATAAAAAAAAAACTGAATTAACACTGTGCTGCATTTCTTAGTAATCATTGAAAGAGCCGATTTGCAAACTATGGAAACGTAGAACACCATCAAGGAGAAGAAAGAGAAATAATGTTTTTTTTTAAGTTAATAATAGTTATTATGGACAACCTAATGCGGCTATGAGTAAGGCTATTTTTGTAGAAAACTTTGAATAATGATAAGATGTTTACAATAAATGTTGATTATATCGATCTGTTATATACATCTTGAGTATTTCCATAATCGAATCTTTTAAAGTCATCATAAATTATGACTGTTTTTTGGTTTATAATAATGCCTGTAATACTTAGCAATTGCTCGAATTCGAGCAACAGGGACACTAGTTTATACATAATATGTATGGTATAGATGATAAGTAACAAAAACAAAATAAACATTGTTATTCTGTGGTTTAAGTCTGTGGTTGAAATATGTATTTGGAATGGTAGTTGCACCTCACTTGCTTTTCCAAATGAACTTTTAAGGAGGTCAAGAAGTAATGCTTCAAGTGAATGAAGTTGAAGGAACAACATCACATGTTGCATGATGATGAAGTTTCTTGGTCTGTTCCAGAGAGATTTGTTTGGTGGAAAGTTGTTGAATCTTTGTCACCTCACACAACTACCGCCATGAGAAGGATCAGGGACAACTTCATGGAAGTCTTGTTTGGTCCTTCTATCAGATATACAAGGTAAATATTTTGTTTACCACCATGGTTTTACCATTAGGTTTACTAATATTGTTAAATCTCTATTAGTTTTGCAATCTGTCATTGAGACACAGTGCTATCCCCAGGCCGAATTTCTCTTCTCGTTTTCTCCGCTTAAAATTGAATTGATGAACAACCACGGACGACCTCGTTCTGAAAATTGTTTCGATCCTCCTTGAACAACTTATGCACGTCTAAGTCAATACACTTTTCTCCTTAAACATAGGTACATCAACTCGCAATGAATTTCTATAGAGGTTGACCCCCTCCCACATATCTGAAAGAATGCAATCCATAATTGGAACGAGCACTGATTTACTGCCCATCGTTATAAGCTTGAAAAGACTAAGCATTGTGAATAAGTATGGTATTGTAACTATAGCTATGCACTAGTGGTGGGGGCTGCAATCTTGCCAGATTTAAACCAGAGTGTTATGTTTTGATGGGAGTGATGAGCTGGAAACAATTATTTATAGCCAACCTTCATATTATTTAAGTCACAATTTCACATTTTCAAAGCCCAAATTTATAAATAATCTACGAGCCTAGTCCAGAAAGAAAGTACCTTTTTGTTCTACCGCTGGCACAGCGCTAACAACGATATTACGCCTATGCCCACTAGTCTCCTTGGTTCATTGTTGAACAGCTGACGCAATTACGGCAAAATTTTGTTGAGTTTACATTAGTGTACACTCAAAATGTTTGAAACAATTTCTGATCCCGCGGACTGTGAAGTGCGTTCTTTTATACGATTTTTGAACCCAAGGAACGTGAAGTCTGCTGAAATTCATTGCCGACTTACAGAAGTTTATGGAGAAAAATTTATCAGTGATTGAATGGTAAGAAAATGGATTTGACAATTCAATGATGGGTGAACCAATGTTCATGACAAGGCTCGCAGCGGGCGGCCATCTGGTGCGAGTCCCCATTCTGCTGGTGCCACTCAAAACCTTTTGCACGGATTTGGTTGGGAGCAGTTTGACCATCCGCCATACAACCCTGATCTAGCATATTCTGATCTCCACTTGTTTTTGCACTTGAAGCGGGATTTCAGACGGCGCCGCGCCCCTTTGACAGCGATGACGACGCTCAAGACAGTGTTCGGCAATGGCTCTCTTCAATGGCGGCATCTTTCTATGAAGAGGGTATAGAAAAGTTGGTTCCTCGCTACGACAAATGTCTAAAAAATGGTGAAACCAAGTAGAAAAATAGTTTAAGATATAGGTATCCTGCGCGCTCTTTCTTGTATGAATAATTTTTTTTTTTTTATTAAATGATCTGCATGTTTTTTTTCCAAAACGGTACTTACTTTCTGGACAAGCCTCGTATACATATGGACATTGGAATTTTCAAAACTTTATTATGTGTTTGTGTCCCTTTTATTAGAGGTGATTAGGCTATAAAAATTCAAATATATCAGAACCTATTAAATTATCTCTAAATTGTTAGAAAACCTATACACTTGGATTGTTTAGTTTATACATAAGCATACTGTATTGCATACAGTATGCTTATATGTATACTACATTTTCTTTTACAGAGTTAAGAGATGTGGAAAAATCACAAAGTCTTTCTTCAACTATGCGATTAGTCATGTTATTGCCTCTCAAAACCGTTTGGAAGAATCTACAAAGAAGGTAAATTATTTAATTAATTTTCCCTTGACACTTATTATTGGTACATGATTCCTGTTTTATAAACTTAAATAGTAACAAGACGACGGCTTAGAATGATGTTCCCTTACAAAAAGCTTTTTAAAAAATCCACTAGCAAAAACACACAAATAAAAAATCTATAGTAAATTACTGTTATAACCTGGGTAATGGAAACTTTCAATTTACCTGGACATTATTTAATTAATCACCCAAAAATATTTTGTTTAAACTCCAATTCAATTTTAAAAACAAATACACTCATTTTTAACTGACTTCCCCACTACCAACTTAAGGAGGAGGTTCTCAATTCGTTTGTGGGAATTTTTTTTCTATTGATGGTCACCAATTTCTCTGTCATTCTTTTACCGATCAACGTGTTTCCACCACCAAAATAACCGGGAGAGTTTCTCTTTGGTACCATATAAAACATTACCGTATGTTTAAGTGTAATTTTTTTTTGTCGGTAAAAAATGCTGAAAACCTGAAATATTCAACATTTATTTTGTTTATATATGTGCAGAGATGGCAATAAATACCTAATAGCCTAATAATATGCCTACATCTGTTAGTTGAAACCATTTAAATGAAGCTACAGACAGTTCTTCATGAAACAGTTGCTTCGTATTGATTAATAAACTATTTCTAGCCATGGAGCCTAGATAAATTTTAAGAAAGGTATTTTAACGTTTGGCCTGACTTGTGTATAATTCCGTTTTGAGTATTGAATTTTCTGACTTATAAAAATGTCAAAAATCATCATAAAGCCGACTTAAAATATGTGAGCTTGACTATTACTGTAAAAAAGTTTACTTTATTAAAATTATTTCATTCTTAGAGCGTTTGAAGTTGGATGTTTTTTTTTTTTACAAAAACAAATTATTTACCGAACCTATGTATTTTGCGGTTCAAATTGTCTTGTAATTAAACTAGTCTGGAGCAAAGATATTATTATGTATAAGATTCTACCAATTTCCTTGTTATTCATTGCAGAATAAATGTCTCAATTAATTAATTAATGTTTACTGTACAATTTAAATTTTTTTATAGTTAAACCGACATGATTGTTTTGTTAAAAACCAAGGTCCAAGATATGTTGAGGGACATAACTACAGCGTTCAGTGGTATGGTGAGAGCTCTAGACTGGATGGATCACCGAACTAAAGCCGCAACTCTGGGCAAAGCCGCGGCCATCAGAAAGTACGTTGGCTACCCTGATTGGTTAATGAACGTGACGGAACTGGAAAACCTTTACTCAAACGTAAGTTTCTATTCATTTACCTTTCCTTTCTTCTGTTATATGTTTAAAAAGTCAATTCCTGTTTTTTTACCTCTGCTAGTAACAATGTTTCTTACAGTACTCCCTGAATAAACTAGACTGAATAATAGGTTGTTTTAAACACTGATCAAATCCACCACAGCTCCAAATTGAGTTTTGGTAAAATAATTGAATCTCAAGCGACACTGACGCAACCTAGTAGGCGAGGACAAAGGTCAGGTGGACCACAAGATTGTTCTAACTAGTTTTGCCTTGGATGTCACTCGTCACAGTCAGTGAACTTACATGTGTGTGTCGTTGTTGTTTTTTTTTTTTTTTTTTTTTTTTTTTTTTTAATACCATTTAGTACATGTTTAATTATTCATGCTTGGGTCATGTGAGCTTATAAAACCCTCCCTTTCCTTAGGAGGATACAACTGTTATTCCAAAAGTCATACCTCCTACTAAATGTAAAAAACAGTACTATGAGACTGGCAACTGTGCTGCATCTTGTTTAGATTCTGGCTAACACTTCTAGGGGTTTTGTGATTCCACTGCTGCAGGGCTGCAGCGAAGCAGTGGTGACTATTACTCACTCGTATCCTTTTATTTTATTCTACTCGGGAGATTTTTGCTTCAAAAAGCAAACATACAGTACACACAGGTCCTATTTTCTCTGTGCAACCTTCTAGATCAGAGTAAAAGATAGTCCAGGTTTCATTTTAGATGTTTTTCCGACAGTTGAACATCACCAAGAGCAAGTTTCTCTGGAACATGTTGTCCATCAAGGCTAGTGAGGTGACGGAAGTTCTCAATACGCTGGGAACAACTCCTCCCAACTCCACTGAGTTTAGGTATGGTAAGTATAGTCTGTGTCTAGCTGTAGTTTACCTCATGCCACTTAGGGTGCCAAGCTCTCCATTCCAGTTACCTAACTGTAAAATGTGTGTTCTGATGTGTTGTGTTGTATTATACGCCACTTTGTAGGGGCAGCATGCATGTTCCTTAACACGAATCACCTTGAAAAACCTTCGTCAAGTTGGAGATAATATTTTGTTATAGACAGTGACAGATTTAAACTCCTAAATCCCTGAAGCTAACTGCACGTGTGGCAAAATATGCGTTAACGTAGGATAACAGTAGAATGAAGAACTTCTTACAAGGTTTTTTTTATAAATATAGGTATACTGTAGACTTCCTCTTATCTGGACTCCTAAGACTCGTCTGGATAACGGTTTTTCCGTCACCTAATCAGGGTAATCACTTGAAAAATAATCCAAATATTTTATTTACATTTGGGAAGGCATTGTATTTAGACACGTGATCACTGGTGTCAAATCTTTCTCACAAGAAAATTTATTTCAGTACTGTTCCTGCCAATCCTGTCCAGTTAACCCATGTGCTAATCAAAATTATCCAGTTAAATTTATGTCACTTCTGGCAAGTGTAGTCCAGTTAGTTAAACCGATATTCATGTGCTATAGAGTCTACAGTTTGTATGTTGTATTTCCAGATGGGACAGTGATCCTTTAGAAGTGAATGCTTATTACAGCAGAACAATTAATGCAATAGGTAAGTGCTTATGTATCAACATTTTAAAAATACTAGTTGCTCTGCCCGTGCTTCTCTACGGGATGAGAATGCAGAAAAGGAGTAATGCTCAATCGTACTTATCGATTATTTAAATGCAGCTTTCTTAATGTATTAACATAATTTTATATAGTGTATTGCATTTAGTGCAAAAGTCCAATTCACTGACCACATGGCACCAAGAAACAAATCTTCATATTAACAAATTTAATTAAATAGCAGAATGAAGGATTACAGCTGGGTTATTAAATTTTCTTCATAAGAAATACATTGGACAGGAATTGGTGATGGGGTGTCTACACAAAAAATACTTAATTTTGAAACATTGTTTGTAAAAATCCATCCATTATTAACGGAGGAGTAGTGTTTCGTAGAAATCGCCTTCACGTACTATATATAAGGAAGGATTTCAAAACTAGAACAGGTCTAGGCCTACACGTACTAACCTCTAGTTACACATTTGGAGACCAAAAGTAAGAGTGAGGCTTAAATCAATATAATTGAGAATATTTTTATTTGCATTATGTCAACAATGCAAAATTGTCTTGGTTTCACAGGGAAAAAGTATCTAATACTTTTGTTGGTACATGTAACAAATATGTTTTATCATTCAACGGATTCCCTAAGAATGAAAAGCTGTTACTAAACAGTACATACTGAATATGTATGGTTTACAGGTTCAACAGTAAAAATTCCAGTGTTAAAAGATAATCTCCAGATAGTCAGTTGTATGTTTAAACAGAAGATATAACATTGTATTTCTTTGCACATGCAGCGATTCCTGCCGGTATTTTACAAATTCCATTTTACTTCTTGGGCATAGAGTAAGTAAGCTATGTAAAGTCACAAATTAGGTTAAACATACACGCTTATAGATTTATGGTTCTCATTTCTCTGAATAGGAAATGAGGATACATTTTTATATCTTGCAAATCTTGTTCAACTCTCAGTGATCTTTGTTATGAGTTATTTCTTGACTTGAAAACTGTGCCATCTGTTTTAGCAAATTTCCCATTTAGGGAATAAGCTATTACCGTAGGTCTCATGGTAAACTTAGACCCGGGACCGATTTACTTTTTCGTTTTGAGGTCTTCAGAGGCTAAAAACACCATCCGTTCAAATTTATATATGTGTCCGTTAGTACGATAACTCAAGCAAAAATGATCAGATTTTGATGAAATTTGGTACTGTTTCCAGTCATTCCTACGTAGTGGGTTATGACGTATTGTTTGAAAGATTACTAACACGTGAATCGTTCAGTTTATAAAATGAAACGTGTGCACCCAAGTGGCGCAAGTAAAATAAAAATGGATAGGAAATATTTCAAAATAAAAACAAATTAAATTCAAACTGTTTGAACTTATGGTTAGCAGGTTAGCTGGTTTCAGTTCCGATTCTTCTAACAACGAGAAGTCGCAAACAGGCAGGCGGAAATCTTTAGAAGTTTTTTGTAAGCCTTACAACGTTTAAATTAAAATACTTTTGATTATTTCTGTTTGTCTTTGTTGCTGAAGTACAACTATGGAGTAAAGTGTGTGATAAACAGTAAATGTGGTCCATTCATAGATGTAGTCAAAATTCAAAAGTGGTACGTGATATGCTTTTTTACCATGTATGGCAAAAACTCCAAGAACTAGGTTTTGGTCTTATTTTTAAATTGAAGACTTAAAACAATTTTAAGAATAGGCCTTTAAATTTTATGACAGCTGTATAGGTGAATAGAAATACGAGCAAATTGTATATCAAATTTAAATTGATTGATACCTTGGAATTAAATTTATAAATACAAAGATTTTAATTTATGGAAATTTAGCAATTATTAATTTAATCAAAATTATCAAAAACTTTTAATCATTTAAAACCACATTAGGCCCCTTTTATGAACCTGCGGCATGCAGCAAACATATATGCTAACTAATTGTTGCCGTGAGAGCACCCCATGGTCCTTGTTTTATTTCTGGCTGGGGGCCTCAAATCAACATCTAGCCGAGGGCCTCCAATGGAGCCAGACCGGGCCTGAATAAAATCATATATGTCTTTTTATTTGTTGAACGCAATAATGAACATGAAGCGCCCACCAAAGCTTCAGATTTTACAGAAGGAGGGTATTTAAGTCTATTCTCATCCAAAGTCAATGGCAATAGCTGATAGTTTGTACATTAAGATAAACTAATTATATTAATCCATCTTATATGGTTTGTATTACGGTACAGAAATGGTTTTATTGAATAAATCCTTTAGTGATGAGGTAAAAGTTATTTCAGCACAATTCAGCAGAGAACATAATGTCACATTTTTGCCAAAATAAAAATTTTTAAGATGTTATGTTTTGAAAAAAAAAAAGATTCCAAAAAAAGAATATATTGTACTAATCTTTGAATTAATATTCAATTATATTCGCTACTTAATAGGAATTGTGAGTATGAGTATAACGGCAATGGTAACTAAAATTTCTTTTAGATTAAAGAGTTATCATTTTTGAAAAAGAACTAAATAATAATTGATAGTAGCATTCCGTTATGAGGATTAAATGTTATGTAAAATTTAAGGGAAGGGTATATACACAAATAATAGTCATAGTGGTCATTACGAAAGGGTGGTCTTCTATAAATGTTTGCCAAACAATTATCATCATTGCACTATTGCAGGTCCCTGAACTATGGAGCGATTGGAAGCATTCTTGGACATGAGCTAACCCATGGTTTTGATATTGAAGGTATAACTTTCAATTTGCTATATTCACCTAAAAATCCTTTAAGACAAAATGAGACATTTATATAGGAATTTTTGAGAGGATAGCAGGCTTACCTGAATGGGAAAGAGTCAAAACTGGCACAGGAAACACAAAAATTTACAACTATATACACAAAACATTAGAATATTTCACTGTCTCTGGCAGCATTTTTAACTATAAGGAAGGGAAGTATTTGTTCACAGGTGTATATGTTAAAAATGACTAGAAAGAGCTTTAAAAACACCAATTTTCTGGAACCCCCTCTCATTCCACACCCCATAAACCATCTGGTAGCCCCCCTCTGACAAGGTCCTAGAATCACAACTTCATATTAGCAAAAACATAGGGTTTAATTGAGGGAGAAGATGTGTGTTGGTTTACCTAGTTTTAACATAATTTTAAGTCAGTTTGACAATGGTTTTATTTTATTATTGGTAGGTACTTTGGTATTATGCAAATGCCACCCTGATACATAGATGAAAGTATGACTCATCTGGTATGGTTCGGTTCATAACAAAACTAGGGAAGTCCTACAAACATATTTATGATAACACAACCTAACATAACCACCGCAGCGCTGTAAAATATGTGGCCTCCGTATAATACCAATGTACCTGATTAGTGATTATCTAATGAAAATCAGAGCTCATAACATCAAACTGTCCTTAAAAATGTCCCTTAACTATGTAATGAATCTTTTGATGTTTAGGGAAAGACTATGACGAGACTGGGCAGAAAGCGTCCTGGTGGGACAGTAAAGTCTCGGACATCTACAGTCAGAAGGCGGAGTGTTTTGTGGACCAGTACAGCAAGTTTTCCTTCCACAACTCTGATCAGCTCAAGGTCAAACGCTACTCTATATGGAATACATTGTTCTATGATAAACCTCATGAATTGTGAGTGGAGTGATGATACGACAATATCAATCACTTATATTTATGGATGCATTATGATCAACACACAAATGATTGATGAAGATCATCCATCAGAAATATAAGTTTATGGTTTATAGTGATAATCAGGCACATATTAGCAATGTTATTTTAGAGTGATGGGATGCACTGAATGGCTGCCAGATAGTAAAATACTACTCAATAATCTGAGCGTAAATATATTCTAAATCCATAATTTACAGAAAAATGAAAAAACACTAGCTGCATAGCCTCCTCTACACAAGGCTGATGCGTTGTTGTGTGGTAATGGCAATTGGCAACTTCGCTGTCGCAACATCATGCCTATTGCCATGGTGATAATAGCAATAACAAAAGTGTAAACATCAACATTGCCTATACGCTTCAATATAAAATTAGTGCAACAGCTGTTCGGTGTTATAAACACTTTTGTCTCGCTGTGGTCTTGTAGTAGAGGAGGATATGATAGCTGTGCAATACACAAATTAAAATAAAATTGTATATTTTGCAAGTGGGCCCTACTACATACCTATTATAAATAGCCTGATCTTCCTTTGATAAAATATCTTTAAAATAGACCTTATAAATTTCTCAATCAGCAACTAGCAGTTGTATTATCTTGTATACGTTTCCAAATGTTGAGTAAAAAATTATAGATGACTATCATAAACCCTCTCTGAAATACTTAGACCTACTTTTGTATTTAAATCGAACACAAAGTAGCCTAACTATTTTACCATAGGTGAATGGAACACTTACCCTGGCTGAAAACATCGCTGACAACGGGGGAATCCGCGAGGCTATCCAAGGATACAGACTGTACACGGCTCGTAATGGACAAGAGCCTTACTTACCTGGACTTCAGCACTACTCTCATGAGCAGCTGCTCTTCCTGGCTTTTGCTAATGTAATTTCAGATAAAAATTGCTTCTGGCATGTATAAATATACAAATAACACCTATTATGTAGATAAACTGAGTAAAATAGAAAAATTATATTTTGAGTGAAGCATGTACAAGGTGGTTAACTTCAACATGAATGTTTTTTTTAAACAAAAATTTATTTGCAATCCGCTAGTTTACAAATTGAGCAATGAGTAATGCTATATACATTTGGCCTCAGTTCTACTATAGCCTACACACTAACTTATACATTTGAAAAAAGGTGTTGGGTTTGAAGCTATGTTCCCCAAAGCTGGTGGGTCCAAACTAGTTTCAGTAAAACTTTGTAAAAATTGATTTCAAAAATGTTTAAATACACAAATTAGTTTCAAAAATATATGGTATACATAATTTTCTAGCTTAAAGATTGCATAATCCTATTTTATATTTTTTTCAACCTTTGAGATGAATTCGTTCAGTGCCTATTGATGTGTAGGCTATATAGGCTACTTTTAAAACTTGTAAATAGTTTTAAAACATTTCCATTGTAAACACCGTGTAAAATTTTTACAAGAATTAAAAATTCTGTGGCCTTGAAGAAAAGCCTGTCCTGTGACTTTTCATGATATCTCGTAACTTCAACACATTAAAATTTCATTAATAATCTCAGTTTACCATAATCAGCCTCGTAACCATAATGTTGGTTGTCTCAGGTGTGGTGTGAGGAGACGACGCCGCAGTTTGAGGCGATGAGTCTTACGGATTCTCATAGCCCCAACAAGTTCCGAGTGCTCGGCAGTCTCTCTAACTCCCCCGAGTTCTCCAGTGTTTGGGGCTGTAAGACTGGCGCTCGCATGAACCCGAGCCATAAATGTATACTGTGGTGAACAAAAAATAGATTTATTTTCAATTAAACCATTTTTTACACCACGGCGTTGTTCCTACCCAACATCAACATACCTTGAGAATATTGGCCTGGTGTGATGAGTCTAAATACTATATATTAAATATAATTTAGGGAACCCGTGCGGCTCAATGAGCCTCAGTATAAAACATAACGTTGAGGAAAACTTTGTGGAAAACTTATGAGTAACTTTCTTAGAGTTATTATAAAACTACTTGTCAAAAATTGATTTGTAATATCTCCAATTGTCTAGTCAATGTTCACATACATGTCTGCTCCTACCCAGACAGCACAAAGATATTTTATAAATATTTTTAAAATATATATCCATCTTAAAAATATTTTATATATTTTAATATTATTTTTTAAATATATTTTTTACTTTCTCCCCCTATACCATAGTATATGGAGAAAGTATTGTTTTCGTCAAAATTTTCGAGTTTGAGTTTTGAGTGGATATATTCGTTTTGGGTCCCCCTGGACCCAAAAAAGTGGTTTTCGAAGTGATGTCTGTGTGTGTGTGTGTGTGTTTGTATCATGGCCCCCACATTTAATTGTGGGCCCTGTTACCAGGATCTGGCTCGGGCCCCCCTACCAACGGGGGGGGGTCGGGGGGTATGGAAAACCCCCAGCCTAGAGGGGGGGTCCGGGGGTTCTCCCCCGGGACAATTTTGAAAATGTCATGTATTTTAGTGAGTTTTTAAGGCAATCTAGGTATTAAATTTGTGAGTGGTAAATGGCACTTTTGCAGCCTTTTTAAGGAAGAAAAGAGTTCTTCAATGAGCTTTATAAGACTTAAAATTACAGTAATTCAGCAATTAAAACTATTATATCAATACACAAAAGCTCCATGCCTATTAATATTTTGTCTTTTTTATTTCCCTGTGAAAGGGTTTGGCTATCGTAACTGCTATAATTGTACTTTGTAATATAGAGTAAGAAAAAAACTTACGTAAATCGAGTTTAACAGCTTACACCAATGAAATCATATTTTATTCAGTGACAATTTTCATCAAGAATTTTAACAATACTACATTTTTTGGGATTGGATGCCTGAGCTGCCGAACTTGCGCGAGTAGTCACGGAGAAAAACGAATGTGCACGAGTAATGCCGAGAATGACCGATGCTGTCGATACCGATGCTATCCAATTCATGCTTTAGTACAGTATTATACCGAGCGAATCGGGAAGAAAACTTAGGTCAAAATTATTACAATCTTTCATATTTTTAAAACTCCAAAAGTAAAGAATTTTTAGGTTTGTGTCAAATAACCTAGATTGCAATTATTAATTGAAATATTCCATGCATAAAAGTGAAACCGGGACCAAATGTTGATAAAACGGGACAAATAAGCGTCCCGAGAGGATTTGTCGGGACGGACCAGTCCCCATAAAACGGGACGTCTGGTCACCTTAGCTATGGTACATAGTACATGTCAATTTTTCAATTCTTTACAATTTTTTTTTTAACTTATAACTATAAGGATTTATTCTTGAAACTATCAGTTCAATTATAAAACCAAACTTTGTTTATTATGGGGGGAATGAGGTAGGAGTGGCTAGGTGCCTGGCGGGAGGAAGGGGTAGAGGGAGTTTGTGGAGCCGGCCACTGGGGCCCGAGCTGGCTGTTCTGCTGTTGTATAGTACATACGCACCTACGCACCTATAGTATTTAAATATAAACTACCTTAGAATCTAGAATTAATACATTTTAAATTATTTAACTTTGTTTTTTGTAAAATATATATATTATTTTTTATCTTCCATTTATGATCTGCTGTAAAGTGATCTTCAATGGGGAAAAAAAGAAAAAAAAGAAAAAAGAAAAAAATGGGTAGGCCAGGGCCCCCAGAGGGCCCGGGCCCTGTGACCAGAGTTGCACCAGCCCCACCCTTGTGGGGGCCATGGTTTGTATTCACCGAATAGTGGCATCCTTCACAGGCACACGGCCGTACTGTGGCACCTTCAAAAATTGTGGCACCTTTTTCAGGGTGCCACAGCTAATTCGATCATTTTTGAGGTTTTCCAGCTTTATTACGTCGTTTAAACATCACATGCCACAATTGAGTATTTTTGAACTCGTTGATGTGAGTTTAAGTAGCGCAGGTACACACCGAATTGTGGAACACGAAACCATACAGGTAGCTAGCGCGCCTCGCGCCGTCCGCCGGAACTATAACTTTCCTAATGCTACGTTGCCAATTCTCGCGCCAGCCTACACTCGAAATAGTGGCACCATGCCACAATTCAGTATATATCAACAGTGTGTGGACAGGATGCCACTTAATGAGCTGTAGAGCTTGAGCAGTGTGTAGAACAGTGCAACAAGCAACTAATCTATATAATTAATACGCTACATGAAACTTTGTCGGTTGAACTCCTCCGCCATTTCTTAACCGATTTTATTCATTGATGTCTCATTGGAAAGAGCGTGTCGCGTAGATTTGCAAACTGGCCTTATATTTTTGAAAAAGTCTTTTGGGCTCTGCCCCAGTGGCTGTTAAAGTTCCTATGTTATCCTTATGGAGAACATAATTGTTTACATTTTGATCAGCTGTATAATTTAATTGGTGTTATTTATTTTTCAATTCAATGAAACGCACTGAGTACATTTATTTACTATTTGAGTTTGTGTAAACATAACCCCCAAGACGGATCGTGTTAGTATGGTTGTATCTTAAATTTATGTATTTATCGTTGTTTTGTGTCGCTTTGACGGATCGAGTTACCATGATTGTAGCTGAAATTTGTGCATTTATCGTTGTTTTTTGTAGCTATAATTTGTTTATTTGTTGTTTTTTTCTTTTAATTGTCTCCGACGCGACGACAACGAAACATAGACAAGAGGCGTACCCAATCGTGATAACGACCGAACCTACCGAACATTGGCGCGTAATAGGCTTAACCATAGATAAAACATACTCCTCAAGAATACATACTCCAATGCGCCCTAACACTACCCCAAAACGACTTTTCGTTCTCAATTGGCACTCTATCAATGACACGTGTTGCCTGTACAGCGAGGCATTTTGAGAAGGATAAAACCGGTCGGAATGCTTTAGGTTTATCAATAACGATGATAAACATGGTCTGAGTTACACACCGGCAATCTTTGAGTTGACTCTTTTAAACTCATTGTAAATATGACTGTTATTCGTTTTGAAATAGCTCCAGTAATACTTTGCAATTGCTCGAATTCGAGCAACATGTAAACTAGTAAACTAATAATACTATACTGCCACGTACTATAAAACAATTTAAGTACCATAAATAATATACTTCTGCTCCGAGTGGTGAACAATGTTTTACATTACAAATAATTTGTGTAGTAAATAATAATTTAAATTGATTTACCTAACCCGCCATGTTAAACTTCCCTATCCCAAGCGTGATGTATACAACTTCCTTACTTCTCGAGTGATGTAAAGTATCAAAAACTCACTCGGTGATGTAAAGAAACCCATTTAAATAACATTGAGTGCTTAACTTAAAAAATATAACTCTATGGAGCCAACGATGTTCAACGCTAGAAATCAGCTGTGCGCTTGAATGTTATTATTATGCTTTAAAATATTTTCCTACCTAACCTAGCTTTTGTTAGTAAAAGAACGTTACTGATAGAAGATGAGTGAAATGGATAATGAAAAATATTGTACGTAAACCCATGTTTATTGTCGGGTCAGGTAAAATCTTGTACGTTACACGTTACGCAAGAGCGTGCTGTTTACATCACTTAGGTGAATTATGCAACTCGCTTCCGCTCGTTGCACAACATTCACCTGCGTGAAGTAAAAACGCTCTTACTACACTTGTAATGTAAATAGCTATTGCGCAACCATTAAAAAAATGATTTTTGTTTACAAACATAAATTGGTAACGTAGTTATTTTGTATCAATTGAATTTGTACACTGAAACGATAACAATGTTTGAGGTTAGAACGCTATATAAGTTGTCCTAGACTGCTTTTTTTTATCTTACAAACTATTTCGTTCTGATAAATCTATTTTTTTAACATTTTAGTCATGTTGACAAAATATTTTGCAATTATATTTCTGAATCAGTCAGTAAAGGTAGATTTCGATGCATCATTGCTGAAAGTTTGTTTTGCTTCTCACTCTCAGAGTATTCCAAAGACATCTAATGTTTCAATCCATGTTCAAATGTTATATGAGGTAAACATATAACCGAATCAATTAAAGTACTTAAATTAAAATACATATTATTATCAACACACATAATCTAGTTCAGATTATAATATCATCTCACAATCATATTTGTAAAACCTACTGTGGTGTTTTAACCAGTCCCCACTAACAAAAGCATAAAATGAAAGGTCCTAAAGAGGTTAACATTGAGTCATAACAAAAGTAGTTTAAAAGTTGTAACCGTGATACTGTAAATAATTTGATATTGTTAGATATTATACGATCGTTTTACAATTTTGTCAATCTATCTGTTACTTTCATACAAATGTATTTTTATTATGAAATGTTTTGTTTTGTAGAACATTTAGTATTCTCAACTTTATTAATAACTAGTAGAATACCCGACCTTCGTACGGGGTTGGCATATAAGTAGAACATGATCATTGCAGTGATGGGAGAGGAAGCGGTCTAAGAAAATATGGTCTTTTAATTTATACGGTATCCTATAGTGTGGCACACATATACCTATAATAAAAGAATGTGTTTAATGGTATGCACTGTAAACGAAAACCTATCACAATAGTTCCAAACATGTTAATAGGGCAATTTTCTAACATATTTTAGTGAAATTATAATCAGGCAAACGGGAATTGGCTCAGTCTATAGGTTTGCTGGGGCAGGGGGATTATATTACTGTTTACAAACAAATAAATCAAAAGAATATACCCCATAACTCAGGATAAGGGCCTATAGTTCGGCCGCTTAGAAAGCGACCTCCTCCAGCATTGGTTTAGCATTAGCGCGCAGGTCGTTTTCTAAGCGGCCGAGCTATAGGTT